AATAGCCGCTCGCGTACCAAGCATAACGAATCAATATTAGAGAATAAAGTCAATTCTGTCGCTTATTAAATTAAGCGCATGTTCATACACAACTTGTCTAAAAAACTAGGCTTCACTTCGAAAGCACTCTTTCATGCAAACTAGTATCAGTCAAGGAAGCTTGATAGGGTGTGGGTGTGGGTGTCAAAGAAGACAAGAGCCACACCCACACTCCACAGCCACACCTCACACCCACACTCCACAGCCACACCTCACACCCACATCCACACCATCGGACATCAGAGAATGATCTTCTTCGTAGCGTTGAAAATTAGTTGCACAGAATTTTATGCATTTTGAAAACAAAAAGCGCATCTATAAAATAAGTTGACATTTGTAAATTTTGAAGCTTTTCACGTTGTAGCATATGATATTTCTTATTTGTTTTTAAACAGAAAGAATTAACTGATGAAAAAGTGAGATGCAAAATGCGACCAATTATTATGTTCCACATGTTAGATACAAGAGAATAAATATAGACATAAGAATTTAGATGTAGAATTAAGGAAATTGATGTAGATATGAGATGATTGATAAAGAAATGAGTTGTTCGGTAGAGGAATGAGGATTAGGTATGAGAATAGAAAATTAGAAGTGGATAGAGACAGATAGAAAGTGATATTGAAAGAATATGTTTGAGCTAAATGATATTATATTGAGCGTTGAACCTAACTTCGAATACAAAACTTTTCTTGAAATAAAAGAAAAGAAAGTTTTGTGCGAAAACCATTTTTATGCGAAATCTAAAAGGGATTTCGAATTCGTTAAAATTATCGAAACCTTTTTAAATTTGCCACAGTACCTTTTTTTTAAATATATCTACTGTCGTTTGTGATGTCCCGATAAACGCGCACGTTATTTGACGAGTTGTATGCATTTTTACGGCAACGGACGTCTATCGAGAATATCAAGGAACACGTTTTTTTTTTCTTCAGTCGTATTTGCATCACTCCTGTTCCGATTGAAGGAGCACGTTCTTTTTTCTTCAGTCATATTTGCATTACTCTTGTTCTAGTTACAGGAGTGCATCATAAAAATTTTCAACTGTATTTTTTTTCTTTTTCTACTTGAAAGTAATGTATATGCGTCTGTCGATGTAAAAACATCATACATACACAGTACATTTGTGCTTTAAGACAAGACTGAATAGATTTTTTTTCTAGATTGATGCTTCGTCAGAGAATAAAAAAAAGTCTGAGTGTAGTTTTTCTGTACAACTTCTTTCTCACGTTGTATTTTATCGAATCAGAACTTCAGCTCTAGTTTTAGTAACTGATTGGATTTTGATACAGATTTTTGTTGGTGACTACTCTGGATAAAAGAAGCAAATCTACGTACATCCTTAGATATTTTCGTGAAAAGTGGATTCGTCTAAGTGTCCTCCACGCGAATAAAATAAAATATTTTTTTAAGGACACTCTCCTTTCTCCCACCATGAATTTTGTGATTTTTCTGGTCAGCATTTAGTCCAAAATGTTGGTTCCCTATCTATTGAGTAGACATGTTAGTCTCCAACCATCTTTTGCATTTATCTTTCTCTCATTGTTAGAAAAACAAAGGTGCAATGTTTATGTTATTTTATATCAATTTGAAACACTTAGAAACTTTCTGCATATGTGACTCTCCAACACGATATGAGAAAACATCACTCTTCCTTCTGTGAATTAGCACGAAAGTTTTCTACAGAAGTCTTCTATTAGAAATGCATATGTTACGTTCTTTTGAGAAGGACATTTTCCTTTTTTTTTATAGCTTTGCATGGATTGTTTACATTAAGTTTTATATGAAATTTTGCCGAAAATTATAGTTTCAGATGTTATTTTTCAATAAGTATTTTGGCGTTTTACAAGGTTCCAGGAGTAAATTTGAAAGAAAGATATAAAGAGAAATTTCTTGATAACTCATGAAAAAGATTTTCGAAGACCTTTTGATATAGAAAATTGGGGGGGGGGGGGAGGGGAAGGGATGCGGTTAATATGTTGAAAATGTCCCCACAAGAAGTCGATGCCGTTGACACATTTTATTTTAAGATAGAGTCTACACTATTCGTCGTAAAAAACATGTACACTTCTTAAGAATCTCTCGAATAAGATTTACTGTAATATATAGTGTCACTTCAGTTTGAGATTAACAACGAAAACTGTTTGTCTTATTACAACTGAAACCACATCAGTGATCAATCTGTCATGGATAAGAAAGCAGCAAATGTATTAATCAAGTTGCGCAGTTTAATCAGATTAGGTGCTATCTCGTCTAGTAGTGTGACCAAGCAAACAGCAACTTCCTCCAAAACGACTACTGGGTAAGTTCTTCGAGCTTGTATCAGTCTTTCAATTGAGTGCATGCGAATTATATGAGACCTTAAGAGCCGATGGAAGTCATTAGATCAAACGTAAGTAATAACTTTAAAAAATATTTTAGATACTGATGTGGATCGTTGACGATCTAGACCGGAAGTGGTTTCGCAAAAAAGAAGTTAATCACACATGCTGCTTATTGAAGATGAATATTTTCCCCTTATTTTACATAGAGTGACTATTAAATATTTACTAACTTTGAATAGATACTTAGGACAATCACAGAATTAGTAATTGATTTTGTATATTAGATCTTAACATAAGTAACTAGTACTACAAATTCTGAAAATATCCTTTTTAGTTAAGAAAAGCTTGTTGATAATGGCGACAAATGTCACAGTATCCGTTTCGAAAGCAAAATACGAAATGTTTGTTTTCATGGAAATTCGGAATCCAGGACTATTTTTACGTAACATAGTGAATATCTCTGATCTTCTTCCTGAAAATCGGGAAACTTTCGAGGTTCTCCAGTGCAACAACCGTTAAAAAGATCACGTCACGAACAATCATGCACTCGATGTGGTTTCGCATTAATTATCTGAAGCAGCGCTAATGCTGATCACGATCATGTTTGATGCAAGATTTCGTATTTGCTTCAAAAGAAACTATCGAACATGTTTGTTCATATGATAGAACATGACTTGAACAATTAGAGAGTGGACGCAGGACGTAATAGAAGGACCAATACTGCTCCGAATAAACAATCACTGTGGATGTGATTCTACTACTGATTATTGAGCTGGACAAAACCGAACATTCCCCAGATTTTGAGAAGGAAGGACGAGAGAAAGAGGGAAATATCTGCTACTCGTTTTTGTTCCTTCCTATATCCACATATAGTCAACATAAAAAACAGCCGTAGATATGAAATTTTCATGAAAAAACGCTTCACATTTTGCTTTCAAAACTGGTACTGTGATATTCTACCGCTACTTCAAGCACATTTTTCTCGACCAAAACTGACATTTTCAAGATTTGTAGTACTAGTCATCTATGTCAAGCTCTACTATGCCAAGTTAGTCATTAATTCTATAGTTGTGACATAGATTAATTTAAAGTTGGCAAACATTCGAAAGTCGCTTTAGATGATTCTCTCTAGAGATGTAGAGGGTAAGCAGCTTTTTTCGTATCCTGACCCTGTCCTACGCCGATTTGTTGTATCCTAACCTCAAATTAAACCTATCCTATCCTACAAGTATCTTACACTAACCCTATCCTGTTCTATCCTAGCCATGCAAATTTTAACAGTGCATGAAAATGGACTACCATTTGA